GTAATCGACTTCCTTCTGGAGGGGTGATGCCATGGTATACAAGTTAGAAAGCACTACCATATCGGATTTCCTGATTTTGACCTCGCAGCTCGCAGAGAATGTTATTTACCTTTAATCCATATCACATCGACCGGTTCCTCGATTGCTATAAATCATGCCACGTATGCTCGTAGCAGAGGAAGCTAACTGAGTTCGACTTAGTGCGCTGCTAGCGCAGTTAAAATTTATGAAATAATGCGTTGTTCTGCGGCAGCTGTTAATGTTATCCTTCTTTTTAGCTGTTTTTCGAAATGTTCCATTTTCTTCCAACTGGCTCTAAGCACGCGATATTGCTGTTAATAGCTGCTGTCAAATCTGTAGATTCAGCGAAGTAAATTGGATATAGTCTAGTGAAGTTTATCATGTCGCCCTTATTTTATCCACCAACTGTCAGGCCATAAATATCGTGACGGTTGCCGGAGAAATCAGCGTCATGTCAGTGACGATTGGAAATTGATTGGGCGAATCGTTCATCTGTTTTTACTGCCAATGCGGGAACGATGCAATGACTGATCTGCGAGAATGAATTGCGGCAGTTTGCTGTATTAAAGCATTTTGCGATTTTCAGTGAGTTATTTACTTACTGACCAAATCCATCATTTCTTCTGAAGAGGTCCGTTTAAAAGCAGAATACTTGTTCAATGGCCGAAAGGATTGGAGCCCACCCTGCCGTATTTAATAATTACCTAAGAAAGCAACGCTAAACAAATCGTATTTCACAGCGCTTCCTCTGGCGGTGGCCTTGGTATAAAAGAGTCATCGTGTTATCATCCCTCCCAGAGGGATACGGATAATGCCTGTTTTTTTTATTATGCTTACCGCATCTTCCTGAAAGACTGAGAATGCCTTACGTGGTTCCAACCCTTTCTCTCAGTGTGTTACGCATGAAAGCAAGTTACGTGGACCGTAACTTCACGGAAACAGTAAATTAGCTTTCATTGTTCCTGTGGATCACAGCCTTTTTGAATCATTTTCAGATCGTTCGATCCCGGACAGGAGTAGGTTATTTTGCTTTTTTGTATCAGCTATGGCAATTAAATGTTGTAAGACTCAATTTTATCTCTATCAAGATTCACAATAGATTACTTTTAGAGTTTGTTGATCAGGTTATAGTTGAATTCAACAGCTGGGCTCTGCGTGTTGAACGAATTACACTCATCCCTGCATTTTTCAATCATCAAAATTACCGTTCTTTTGTTAAGAATGGTAAAGGAAAACAGCACAAGGCAGGATTATTTATGCACAATGCAAAGTACTTGATCAATCGGATAATTGCGCTGTACTGGCACTTCGGCTGATGTTTTCCCGGTTTTTTTTCAAGGTAGAGAGATGGTTGAGGTTTGGAAAATATTTTGTCGTTCGCAGCTGTTTGTACGCACACAGTCAAAAGGCCATAAAAAGTCAGAACAATTTCTGATCCCTCACTCGCCTTTGACCGCTAAGGAAGTTCTTCCAGACAACCATCCAACTGACCAATTTATAAATGCACCGTGTTTTGTGTCTGTCTTCAGTATGACCGCCAACATACGACCAATTGTGAAATTCAAAAATTCAAAAATTGCTCGGGCTTTCAGTGTGGATTCTTCATAGTTCCCACACGCCGAGCGCAACCATGCCAGGCCGTTTTGTCCTTGGCGGTTTGTATCCAGTTTTTTCCTGCTATTTCCTTCACGTACGTCCGCCACCTCATCGGAGGTCACCTCAGTGGTCGTTTTCTTTCTCTCGGATACCATTCTG